TTATATTCAACAAATTTTGATTTTTGTCGTATTACAATTAAATAATTTTACCATGCAAAATGTTTTATATTCTTTTGATAATGATATTATAAATACATGAATTTAATTAAAAATGTATGGATACAAAAAATTCTAGATGAGTCGAATGGGTACCCTCATATTAGCGGGATATTAATAATTAAAATTTATGAAAAATACAGAAAAATACAGGAAATTATTAAATTTATATAATAAATTTTTCAGTATAAAATAGTTCTTTGAAGTTCCACTATTATCGGGTTCGGCTCATCTAGTTGGTACCCATTCCAGAACTTTGATACCCATACATAAAAAATAACAATAACGCATTTGTTTTATTATTATTAAATATATTCCTTCGTAATTTCATAAGAAAATCATTCTATTCATTTTTTTTAATCAAAGCTGATTTTTAATAATGGTATAACAAATTTTTTCGCATGTGACTTTTAATATTATATTAAAGATGCGATAAAAAAGATAATTGTGATTGACATTCCGTCAAAATTATTACTATCGTAAGCGGTCTGGAAGAATCGGTATTCACACCCTCCTGTAATAAGATCGTTGGTTTGATGGATCATTTAATTTTTCTTTGCGGATGGATTTTATGAATTCGACGTAGAATCAGAATACGTTAAGTTCGTTCTCCACTATGAAGATTGTTCTTCTTTGTATCGAATATTAACTAGCGTACCACAAGGCGGAGAGACTTTGATACGATAAAATTATTGAGATAGTTACCTTGAACGCGATGAAGGTGCTGTTATAAATACATTAATGACTTTTTATCGCGATATTATTAAGTTTTATATTTGCAAATTAATAATTAATAGTAAATACGATTTAATTGTTGTTAGTATTTCATTCCGCTTTTCTCAATATTTCATTAAATATTGGGTTAGGAAAATTTGTGTTATCGTATGCTTTTTCGACGTTTCGGTACAATCCCGCATTAATAAATTTTGTTAATTATGCTCCTATAATATAATTTTTATTATATTTCGAACAGCATTTATAATTGTATTATAAACAATTATTATTGTATTACTGAATGTATAGAGGATTACAATAAAAGATAGTATTAAAAAAGTTACGCAATATGATTTTATCGTATTTCGCTAATCATAATGCAATATATTATAATTGCTAATGATTATAGAGACTTTGGAATATACTTACATATTAGTAAGTATGTTTGGTGAAAACGGGCTGAAAATCTACATTAAAAAAACATAATTTCGTGATTTCATTTTTATGTAAGCGCATTTTATAAGACAAAATTCGCTAAATTAACTTGTTTGAATATTCAGTTTCGAGTTTCTTAATATTCAACAACTTTTATTTTCACAGTAGGAGATGCGAAATTGAAATTTTCGTTTAAGGATCCATTAATAAACATTGTATCATTAAAAGATTTATTAAATAAAAACGTAAAGATTGTTACTGTAGAACCAGAATTCGGATTTTCTTGAAATATACACGAATTTTGTGTTATGATATGCATTTTGTATACGAGATATCTTATACATAAAAGCAAAAGTGTTATAAAAATTTATAAACAATTTTTGTACTTTATATTTTATATTAAAAAGGTTTGAGTCTATTTTTTTGTTGTATTATATTTTATTATGTTTTATTGTGTTTGATTACTTTGTATATTATAATGTACATTATTCTTTCCTTAAGTCATAAGGAATTGATCAATTATAGTTGAAAGTGAAAAAAATTAGTCGAATAATTAAGTTTATGATTAAGTTGATTTCTTACTACATAATTTCTTACTGCGCATAATTAGATCCGGGCTTAATTGATTAATTTTTGACGATTTTAAATTTACTATATTCATTGTACTACACCTACTGAACCCGTACTATACCCGGGCTTTGTTCGTTTTTGTAATGTATAAATCTATTGAATTACCAAATATATAATGACTTTTCCTAAATGAAAATAATAATGAAGACGTCTTCCCCAAATAATTTTTAATCGATTCCATTCATAAAACACATTAAATGAAATCGCTGTCTGCTAACTTGACGCATGATAAAATTTGCTAATTACAAGAAGAATGCTATTTCCCAAATGTTTAAATTTTCCCAAATTTCCCCAAACGATTCCCAAATTATATAGATATAAATAAATCAGAAATATTCAATTTGTCTGCTATCTTGTCAGTGGTTTAAAGGGTCAAACCTGTCAAACCATATGATTAATGAATATAACAGGAATCTGATATATCCAAGCGAAAAGGAGTAAATAGTTCTCCCAATTTCCCTAGGGGGCGCAGAACATGACTTTATAGCTTCACGCTTCACCTATTGGTATTGTATGTACCTTGACTATCTGTCGGTTTCTCGGCATCACATAACCTCTGATCTCTGGTAACCTCGTGCTCCTCGTGGCGAGGTTGTTGAAGGCGCTATCAGGCGCGATCCATGGTCCGTGGAACAATATATTAAAAAGTAAAAACCCCTTATTCTAATTTGCATTTGTTGTTATCGAGTAATGTGTTCGTGACGATTATTTATAATTGCGATAATATTTGTTCTCGTAATTGGATCATAATAAAACAAAATGCAGCACGACGACGTAAGTAAAAGCTTTGAGTTTTTAATTTAACTATTTTTAATTATTATTGCGATTTTATTTATAACAAACGATTTTACAGGTTGTGTGGAGTGTTATCAATAAAGCATTCTGTTCTTTCAAAGTAAAGTAAGTATGTCCTTAAAAGATAAATAAACGTGCAATAAATTGAAACAGCTTTACCGTCATTATAACTTTACATCTCTTTCGCAGTACGAAGACACAGCGGTTCTGCAGAAACGAATTTAATCTTACTGGTTTATGTAGTAGAGCTGCGTGCCCTCTTGCAAACAGTCAATATGCTACGATTAGAGAAGAAGATGGTATTATTTATCTCTACATGAGAACTGCAGAAAGGTAGATTAAATATATGAATTGTATATAGTAATCTATATATTATACAATTTATATATTTAACTTAGCATTGATATTATTTTTTACGACACTTATAAAATTATAAATTTTATGAATATTAATAAAGAAATGAGGAATAATATTAATTTAAATAAAATTGTAGCATGAAATGAACTTTTATCTTCGTATGCAATATTTTTGCACGTATAGTAATATATATTAATTTCAATATTAATTAAGTTTCTTTCATTTAGAATACATACACCTAAAAATAGCTGGGAAAAAGTCAAACTGTCCAGAAATTTTGAAAAAGCCATACATCAAATTAATGAAAATCTTCTTTATTGGCCTGGTTTCATAAAGGCTAAATGTAAGCAAAGATTTCTCAAGATCACACAGTATCTTATTCGTATGAGAAAATTTAGATTAAGACGACAGAAAAAAATTGTACCGCTTCAGAGGAAAATCGAAAGAAGAGAAAGGCGTAGAGAAGAAAAGGCTTTAATCGCTGCAAAACTAGAAAATGCAATTGAAAAACAGCTTATGGAAAGGCTGAAGAAGGGAATGGTAATTGAATTATATATTTATCATAAAATTATATTGTATAAAAGTTATATTTAAAAAATGTTATTTTCTTTATATTTCAGTATGAAGGTATTTACAATTTCCCACAACGAGTGTTTGATAAGGCTGTGGAGGCTGTTGAAATTGAACGAGAAAGTGAAGCAGAAAGCGAGCACGAAGAAGAGCAGGAGAAAGAACTTGAGAAGGAGTTAGAAATGGAGTTAGAAGCTGACGACAGAGAAACTGAACAAGGTGGTCCAGAATATGTTGAAGCTGATAGCGACGATGATGACTATGAGGACGACGATGACGATATTGAAGAGCTTTCTATGGTAAGTGATATGAAACAGTTTGTCACTAAAATATAATTACTTTAATATTTTTTTTATAAATACATTATAAATGCTGTATAGGATGAAGATAGTGACTCTGGACAGAAAGAAGAAATTGAATTATCCGCTAGCTTTGAATCCGAAGCTAGTGATATCGAGGTAAGAATTCTTAAGGTCAAAGTAAAGCTTATTGCACTACAAGTCGCGATAAAAATAGCTTGTGTTTTATTAGGATTTAGTCACACCATCTACAAGCAAGAAGACAAAAGGACCGAAGGTTGTCAAAAAAGGAAAGGTGCAAAAGAAACCTCGAGCGAGAGTCGAAATTGAATATGAAATGGAAGATGAGAGTCAACAAAATAAAGGGACGCGTATATAAAAGTAAAATTGTATTATATAAATATAATTATCTTTATAATAAAATCACAAATTGCTGTATAAGTTAGTATCCAATATTTTGGTTGACAGAATAATCATGATTACATTTGATAATATTCAAACCGTTCATATATCTAAATGCATTTAACTTGCATTAAAAATAAGAAGAAGGTAATCAAAGTACTTCAGGATTATATTGTCTCGTCTAACGTTTTTCTCAAGACGTATAATTGTGAAACTCGAAGTTCTTTATGAACAGATATATGAGAATCTTGTATCATGTATCTATTTCGCAAGTAATACCTTTGAGGCTTCTCTTGTAAAATTACAAGACCATTACGAAACAGATATAAAAAAAGTCAACAAATTTTTAAATAATATGAATGATCAAATATACATATGATTTATTAGAAAAGATAAAAACTATCGGTAATTAACACACCTATATATATCACACAAAGACAAAAATTCGTCAAAAGGCTATAGGAGTCAACCTCTGGTTGACATCTATATGTATATTTAAAAAAGGAATACAGAAAGTGTGTGTTGTAAATTAAATTATTTACACATTATGCAAGAAATCTCAGAAAATGCACTTATAAATTTTATAAAACATTACAAACTAATCAGTTTTACTATTTTGGTAGTTCTTAGTTTAAAAAATTTAATTATCCAGTAATAATTTATGTTTTACGCGTTTGCGAATACAATCGTGTTCTCAAGTAAAACGTAATGCGTTCAAAAGTTCCGCTCACAGGCGCGAAAACTACAGAAAGTACATCTCGGGGGAGGGGAATCGGAACGTCCGTTATCCGTAGCGGCGTAGCAGACGATAATCGTGACGAGTTGAGACAAGTTGAGAGAGAGGAGGCGAATCGCCACAATTGTTCGTCGCCGAGGATCTTCTCCGAGAAATCTTCTCCGGAGAAATCTTCCTCGGCGAGTTCGTCTGCCATCGAATATTCGTGATTGAACTCGAGAGGATCCGATTCGTCGCAAGTCAAAGCGAGGTGTCAGTCGATCCGCACTCCGCAGTGCTTCGGCATTGCGCATTCGTTGAGAATCCTGACGCACGTTGACATTTTGATTTGACTCTCCGCTATCGGGCTCCGCCGCAGTCTTCGGAGCGGGAACTCGGCCAAAGCGAAGCCACGCCAGGAGCATGGTGACCCGATCGCGATTTTGCCCTTTCGCCCGCTATTTATAGAAATTATAGAGCTAGTAGGTTATTTCTAAAATCAATCGTCGTAGGTGAGACGCGAGACGAGCTGTGCCGGAATGATACAGTGCGATAAGTTACGCGGGAATTAACGCAAATTGGCATTGCGATATACACAACGTTGTTACGTTGCCGTTACTGGTGCTTTCCAGCAAGAGACAGTATGACACAGTAATCATTTCATCCTTGTTTAACGTTGGCAGACAACAAAGATGTTATGATTCATTGTATTATACTGTGTCTCTTCTGCGTCTCTTGCTGGGAAACACGTCATGTGTAACATGATTTAATTGCTTCTTGGAGGTACTCGCGCAAGGGGCAAGAGCAAGACGATTCGGCAGTGCTGTTATTCTCGATTCGCGCGATGCAGATCCCACGCTCTTATCGAGCAATTTGCGCGACAAACCAGAGGCGGTGCGTAGCTATCAACGCGCTCGTTACGCGGATTTATCTCTATCAAGGGAGGTCGCAATTCCCAAGTGTCTGCAGAGCGAGCGCGTTGTCCCTCGCTCGTAATTAGATCTGGTGTTTTCGCTCGATGGATGCCAAGTTCCTTCCAGCTTCCTCTGGCAACCTCGGTCATAGTGTGATCTCATCGAACGAATGACTCAAGGGCGTCAATGAATGATAATCTGCTATCTTCTTTGTCTCAGGGATGTCGTGGCATGCGGAATGATGGATCATTGAATGGAGATGCAAGGTTGGAGAGCAACATGAATCTGTATCGCACAATTATCTGACTGGGATCTACTCTTCGAGTTATCGTGTCTTCGTATCTTCACGCACAAATGTCAGGATGTTAAGCGGTGCTGTCAATATGGAACTGAATAATGTTGTGAGCAACAAAAGTTCCGTATACCTTGCACTATCGTTTCGTAGGCTGTGCCTGGCGACAGTTGGCTTACCACTTGTGTCACTGTTGTTCTGCTTCATCACAGCATATATATTTCAACAGGACGATATTCACGAAACTCACTGTAGAGTAAGCAAAAGTTTCATATTAGTTGTTATAATAAGCAAGACTTGTGATGAATAATATCTCTTTGTTTAGGTCTATAATATTCTTCCATCGATCTCAGCCATTACTGGAGTATCTCCACAGAGATATTTATGGCGTATCAGTATAGCATTACATATTGGTCCTAGACTGGTTATCGCCAGTGTTTATCATTCATATTATTACAAGATACTTAAGAACATTGAAGATGTGCCTCTACAAATTACGGGGAGCAGGCTCCTAAACCTATGCTACTGGCTAAACATTGCCGAGATAGCAGCTTTGTCTGGTGTAACATATATTTCTAACAGAGAAAATTATTGTAAGTAACTCATAATTTCATATATCTGCTACTAACATGTTATTGAAGGATAGAACGTTTGGCGTTATTAGCGTTGTTTGTGTTATTCTATGTTTATTGTATTCTTTAGACGTAAAACGAGGATAGAATAACATAAATATTGCTAATAGCATTTCTTTGAATGCACTTTTAGTAAATGATATAAAATATTTCAGCGGTACACGAAAAAATTTTCATAGTGTTCATGATTAGCTCGCTCACATACATGTTGACTGCTGTGAGATTGGGTCGTCTAATAACTCCAAATGCACAAAGTCTTCAGTACAAACAAGTGCTTTTTATGACAAGTCTCGTCAGTACAATCTTTCTTATTATTTTCTTCTTAAAACATCGACTGCTGTGTCACGACTTGGGTAAGAAACATGGTTACAAATGTTATATTTATTACAGTTTAAAGTAAAAACATGAACAATAATATCTATTATTTTGAACAGCATTTAGTTGGTTTTCGCTATGTGAGTACGTGATAGCTTTTGCAAATATGGGCTTTCACATCACTGTGGTTTCGGACTTTCCAGAAGAACAACTGATCGTAGGTCACGGTTTACCTGCCGTAAAAATAGATTAACCTTATAGGATAACTCATCATTCTCATCGTCATATTAAAGTACCTATTGCCTCTGCATGGAAGTGCTACAAATTGTTGTTTTTAAGAGATGAAAGTTTGGCATGCCACGTAATACATAATTTCACGATTGTCTCAGTTTTATGATATTTACAATATTACATTATTTTTCTCTCTTGAGATTGATACGATTTGCTTCCAGTGATATTTAAGAGATCGATATCATTTTTATCTTTACTTTTACATTCTCTCGCAATATGAATTACGATATTCGACCAATAATTCCGAATAAGAGGATACGTGAAAAGAATAAAAATATCTAGCGCTTCCAAAATGTGGCACCGGTTACTTTCAAAGCGATGAAATATGTAACGGCCTTTTAATATTGTTTAGTAATAGAGTACAATCATAGTAAATAATAGTTAGAAGTATCCTACATACAAACAGCATTTATTGTTAAGCGCAAATTAAATATTACTCACATCGTATGAGATTACTTGTGAAGACTTTTGAATCTTCTTTTATAGAAACTTTTGCAAGGTGAGAATCTAGTCGAATATATTAATTCTAGTCGCGATCTTTTATTCGCTTTATGATACTCCTATTTTATCTAATAAGTTGAAATTAGACTATAAGATACATCTATGTCAAACGAACTTTGAGATATTATAATTGTAAGTTCATTAAATGAACATATACAATTTTGGATTATTGCAAAGACATTGTACAGTTGTGTCTTGTTGGTAAATCTTAACAATGAAAATCATACATGTATATGTTAATACACATTCACCTTGTAAGAGATTAATTCATCTTGTATAGATTTTAAAATAATAAATTCAGTTAATATTTACAAGCCATCTATTTGGCATTATTGTAACTGCACAAACGTAGGATAATTGCTCCTATGTTTGTATGTAGTATACGATAGTTTAATAATAGCAAATCGAGACACTGACGATCATTAAAGTAGTCATAATCGTATTATACAAGGATGTGTAAACGATTGCATTCGAACCAGTATGCATGCAAAGGAAGATCAGTATCTAAATATCTCACACGAATTTATAAGACGTTTAAAGAGTTTCTGTCAAGTTTTATGACCTTTTCATTCATCTCTTGTTTGAAACAAATATTGTTTGATATTGTTTGAAACATGGACTATTTGTGATGCACAATATGTATGATTTTCGGAGAATATAAAAACTTTTATTTATAATATTTTTTAAATTGTTATTTAATTTTTAGCCATAAATACTAAATACTTTGGATTATTAAAAATTACATTTCTGATGCGATTATTTTAAAATATATAATTGTGTGATTTAACAGAAATAGATTGAATTTTAATAATAATCTTTATCGAAAGCGCCCAATAAAATTTAATATGTTTTATTTAAAGTATTGCTATAAAATTATTGCGATCAAATTTTTATACTGGTGTTTTATAAGTATTTAAACATCTTGTGCATGTTTTTTTGTTAAGAAAGTTCCATGTTATAAGCTCGAAATAAAATTGCGTACGTGCGTGAATAAACTAGTAAGGAATGACTACATTCTCAGACTGCAATATCTGCGCAGAATATCTCTTGATATTGAATCGATAAATATAAAGTAAGATTTATTGTAATAAGTGCAGATGGTGCGTTATCGCAATGTGTCTCTTAAGATTTCGTTGTAAAAGGCCGATAGTGTCAGTATGACTTCTAGATAGCACCCGCAATTAAATAATATCATTTTTGCACATTTTTACACATGAACATTGTAATTGTAGCATGTTTTGATATGACAACTTTTTGTTAAGATTCCTCGTATACCATTATTGAGAAAAGGAAAGAAATGAATAGTCAGTGCATATTTATCGCTAGTTTCTCGTAAGTACGTTTGTAATCATGAGTAATCATGCAGAGATATGCTACAAGCTTTAGATGATTTTTATAATGATCGTAAAGAAGTAGGCGCTTTGTTTTTTCTATACACGCAGCAAATGCAATCACTGAAGCGTAATATTTCAATTCCTATTATAATTGGAATCTCATTTTTGTGTATATATTTGTCAAGATAAAAGTAGATGCATTCAACAATATTTAATTTACCGATACCGTTATCAGAAGTCGTGCCAAGTGATGCACTAAAGATACATCATGAAATTTATCGTTGATAACACTATGCACGTTAATAATCTTTAGGAATTTTTAATAAATTATATTTGCGTCTTACATTTCGTTGGGCAATCACTTTGCTCTTCAAATACATTTGTAACAATGATCTTGTGAAATGGTTTTTATATTACATCTTTCATTCTTAAAAAAACAAGAATCGAAAAGTACATCAAATGACTAGATCAATTATAACAGAACGTGTTCATTCTCTAATGAATTGTAAACTTAGGTTGGTATTCTTGAAGTACATGCAAAGATTAAAATTGGTTCTTGAAGGAACTTGAAAATTTTTACTTTTCAGTAAAAATGGAATTATGGAATTAAATATGAAGTAATCACTATAACAATATTTATGTCTTTAAAATTGTATTGATTTAAATGAGAGATTCCAATTACTTTATTATCTTTAAAAAATTATCCTCGAATTCCTCAGGGAATCTATTATTAAAAAAAAAATAGACGATTGATGAAGCATTTTGTATGTGTTTTAATTGATAAGTAATAAATGATGCAAGTTACATTGTGAGTTATATAAACAAATACCGAATATCTCTTATCTAAATAAGTATAAATTATTATAGTATATAAAATCAATATCAAAATTTTTTTAGAAATACGGCGTTTACTTGCAAAAATAAGTTCTAAAAGTATTACGAAATGAAAAATTTTGTTAAACACGGAAAGAGTATAATCTTCTAATATTTATTTTATAAGCGCTAATGTTGAACTTAATGCTTTTAAAGAGAATTGTGCTAAACATTTATTTAGTTAATTATCATTTTGATTGTGACTGTACGCCTCATAATCGCTCTGTGATTCATTAATACTCATGAATTTATCGTTAAGATGTAAACATACCCTCAGAATGATTCGAGGAAAGTAATGAGGTTAAACGCTATAAAGTGTAAAAAACATTATTTATCGTTATCCTATGAAAATATTTCTTCACTTCCGTAAGATAAGCACGCACTTATTAAGTAGAAGCTTTTAAGAGTGAAAGCTCTGGAAACATATTAAAAAATTTCGTCATATGATTTTACATTGGCGATAATGACTAAACATATCTGTCAAGAATTTTTATCGTATTCGAAGTTCTCTTCTTTCGCTGTAAATAACGCTAGCACGATATATACCTATCTTATACAAACGACGGAGTGTATGTTAACAGTGCATTAAGTAAATGTTTTACCCTCGATTGATATGATAATTTAAACATGCAAGCTTGAAATGAAATCTTTACAAACATATACTCACTATCGAGTTGCAGTTTTTTTTCTGCGACTCGTATTTTTCGAAATGATTTTGCTACTGAAACTTTTTTTCTAATTTACTTACTGTGTATATTAAAATTGTATCAATGAAGTGCTACGATCTCACGAAGGAACTGCGCGTTCCTGATATATTATTTGGGTAATCGACAATTCTGTGATAATAAGCACAAAACAGCGTTGCTGTATTTTATTTCACAAATTAGATTTTGTTTAATTCTTAAATAAATTTTCCCTGAATACTATTACTCCATTTTTTTAACTATGCGCTCTACCTATATTGAAGCATGCCAAAAATTTTAATTGTATATTATCACAGAATTCATTTTCCCTGTTCTTATATTTAAACTGAATGTTTTTAGTTACAAATTATTATTAAAGTAAAGAATTAATTAATCAAATAAGTAGCAGTAAGTCTTTAGTTGATTAGTTTTATAAGTTTTATAAGCTTTCCTCAGTCTCTCTACGCACAATCAGATTTTGTGAAATTTTATCAAAAGAGATATCGAATATATAGTTTGCGTCTATTATAGCTATTATTTCAATTTCTTCGCATATGTATACGTTGTGTCTACGACAAGTTTCCAACTTGAAAATGTTCACAGTGTTGAAAGCAAACTTACGCCCAACATCTCTGATATATCCTTCATCTCTGCCACAATCCCGTGTACTATAAATCAGAGTGAGAGCAATCGAGCCTCGAATCCAGTTGAAACCTACAGCATTGCCGCGAAGGTAATTGAACTCTGTTGACCTTAATGTAAGGGAATAAACGAGCGTGATTAAATGGCTATCGTGTGACACGAACGAGAACTTTCATCGTCCTCCGCGTAACGAAATTTAACAAGTCGCTTTCTTCAGCCGTGCCGAAGATTGGACGAAGATTCTCGAACATTTTGTTTATATATACTACTACTGATTTTATGTCACTATAAGAAATAGTTGTATTTTCCTACACTTTCGCATACATACACATATAAACACAATCGGTCGAGCCATCATCTGATGTAAATGTATTTCTGATGAGCATACGACCGCTTTGTAATATAGTGTATATTTCTTGTAATCGGTTTAGGGCGGGGGCCCTATACTCTGATTAAAAGTGTATTTCTGTATATGTGATGACTTGTAACAACATTGATTTCGATTAGAAGAATGATTTCTATTTGTATCGCGTAACGAACAATTGTCAAATAAACATTATCATATACAATCTGCTTTTGTGTTAAATCTCGTTAAATTGTAAATAATTGACATATATATCTTTTCAAGAATTTAAACAAATATAATTTTGATAAACTCAAATATTTAACACATTAAACAATCTTTATAAGTATTAGTGATAATGTTAATTATAATTTGTCATTTTATCATATATTTCATATTTTATCATATTATGATTTTGTATATTTTTATATAGGAGAAAAGGAATAATCAAATAAGATAGAACTTATCGAATCTGTGCTCTTCTCATTTAATCGAGGTACGGGAAAGCTTAGATCCAGTTCTTTTTCGCGAATACGTTGAGACCGGTAGATCTCTATTTCTTTGTGAAGTATCCGCCAATAATGGAGAATCGCAACTGTGTGCTTCTGTTTTCTGTCGACAAATCTGTAAATATACATATTTTTTTTTATTTTCATTCATTACCTTTTTATATCAAAATAAGGTACCTGAGCCGAATAAGGCCCAGGCACTAAATAAGGCCCACTTTTAAATTTATTACTTTAAAACTCGCTTTACGCCTGCACTATATGCTTAAAAGATGT